GACCAGTAGTTAAGAGTAAAGCAAGCACAAAGTTGGTTGAAAAGATAGAAAGCTCCCCACATGGGAGAAGCTTTGTGAAAAAGGCTGAACCATCCAATCCTAAGTGTAGTTTCAAGGTAGAATAGGAAGACTTTAGTCTTAGGATTGGATGGCAACTAGGTGACTTCTCGCTGAACCTGACCACCTGCCTTCCCATCCTTATTTAACTGGAAATTCTAGGACAGTCTGGTCAGCTCATCCTGGCCTCGAGGCCCATCATTTACACTTTCTAGCTACCTTTTGCTATCTTGGTGTCTTGAACAGGACTTCGTCCTTCTCTTCAAGGGATCCCCTTGGGATATGGCCCAAGGCAGACTTAGGGTAGAGGCGATGAAACCATGGCCATGTCCCTTAAAGACCACTCAGACACTCGAGTCAATGCAGCAACATTTATTCACACTTCCAATACACACTTACAAGGTCCAAGAGGGAATCACAGCACACAGTTGCCTCACAGGGCACTGTGGCAGGCAAAGCTTGTGTTCCATGGAGGGAGCCCCACCAAGCAATTAGTTTGTTCAGGTTGAGACTGTTGGCAGGCAGAGCCAGCGCCCCATAGAGGAGCCCCACCTAGCTGTCAGCACATAGCTCATCATGACCATCTCAGACCACAGTGACTTCCAGCCCTAGGTATATACAAGGACCCAGACATATAGACCAAGGGAACAGAACAGAAAGCCTAGAAGTATACTGACATATGTACAATCAACTGACTTCCAACAAAGGTGCTAAGAACACACACTGAAGACTGGAGAAAGGCCAGTCTTTTGAATAAATGGTGCTGGGGAAATCCATGTGCCAAAGAATTAAACAAAAACCTCTTTCTCACCAGTTACAAAAATCAACTCTACCTGGATGCAGTGGTTCAAACATATAATCCTGACTACTTGGAAGGTGGAGATGGGGAGGATCATGATTGGAAACCAGTGCAGGCAAAAAGTGAGACTCCATCTCAATCAATTCCAATGTGGTGAAACATGTCTGTAATATTAAGCAGGAGGCATAGGTTGGAGGATCAAAGTCCAAGGCTGGCCCTGAGATCTATCCAAAATATAAAAGTAAAAAAAAAAAATCAATTCTAAATGAACTAAAGACTTATGTAAGACCTAACGATAAACTACTAGAAGAAAATACAAATGAGCTGTTACCCATGAGTGACAGGCATATACATGGAGCCTAAAATGCATGAATCTTCAAGATCTGTCGGAGAGAACAGCTGAAAATAGCTTCAGCTGAGATCAAAATAGTCCACCAACTTATGTCACCTTTGGGGTACATGTAGCCAAGCCATAGAATACATATCAGATTGTTCTCAGTATAATTTCCTGGAATATTTGGTCATTAAAAACTCCACTGAGACCCCATGGACACTTAAGATGTAGAGGTGGGGATTGCTAAGAACCCCACAAGTTTTGCAAATAAGAAATAAAATGATAACTACAATGATTTGAAAGCAAGCAAGATTTTTTTCCCCTGTGCTGGGGATCAAACCCAGGGTCTTGTCTATGCTAGGGAATTGCTCTTCCACAGAGCTGCAACCACAAATCTGTGTATAATGTGTTTAAGATTTTAGTCAAAAATCAATTGAACTTATAACATCAAACAGCAACAGTTTCTGGAGTATAAAACAAAACAGATAACACAGACATTTCAAATGCAAAGAGGTAGAATTCCAACCAATATTCAATGGCCACGGAACTGTGACTTAACCCAATTCCCTTTCCATGCATTTTGCCTTTCCTTTCCCCAGACCCCATGGATTTGCCTATGGTCCACCATACCCAGCATCATCTATCCCAGTCCCCTCCATTCCCAAAAGGACTCTGTCCTTTAGAATGGGTCTGAGCAGCTCACTTCAGCCAACAGCCTTGTGTGCATAACCACTGACCAGCCACACACATGGATGTCACAGATGCCCAGAGAGAGGGAAGACTGGAAGGCAGTGGTCAGCGTGGCTCCAATTGTTGATGCCATGAGTTCTTGGGCTTCAGCCTCACTGATCAGACAGCTCAGTGCCTGTGGTTCTCTACAGTCACAAGACTTTCCTCCCTGTATACTGGACTGTACACAGGATGACAGACCAGGCAGACAAGAGTGTTTGCCTGAGGTTCTGACCATTTTTACCCAGATGATTATGCAGGGGCAACACCCTCATTTACTTCTTTAGCCTGAAGTCACATCGACACATTCTGATTCATATTTATGACTGCATAAGGCACACGACCAAAGGACCCATTGTTCCCCATGTCATCCTTTCCTCTCTAATCTGAACCACCCTTCATCACCTTTCCCTTTTTCACTCCAATTGACAGTGGTTGGAAACCATGTATCCTGTGTTCCCATGACCTGATCTTTTGGCCTTCATCTTCACATCCCAGTGCCCAGAAGAAACCTTTTCATATGTGCAGCCAATTAGGCAGGTATGCAGTGGCAGTGTAAGTGGTATTCCATGTTATAGACACATGGGTGGCCACATTGAGGGCAGGAGTCAATACTGAAAAACAAAAACAAAAAACACCTTGCCTGACTTATGATTCTCCATGTATCCATGACCTCAACACAATGTTGGGAAACTGTCCTTGTGCACCCAGCCCCCAGCCCACTGTAGCTCTCCAGGGAGGAAGGGCACAGGTCCTGGCTCAACTGGCTCAGCATGGCAGTATGGCACAGAAGTTCCTTCAGGACAGACATGGAGGTGTGGTTCCCAAAGAAGCTGAATGTGGTGAGCTGGGAGCAGCAGATCAGGGCAGGCAGGAGTGCAATGAGCTGGAGCAGGGAGTCCCTGATCCCACAGTCCTCCAAGTCCAGGGTCTTCAGCGTGTCTGCAACTCTCTCTAGTAGAACTTGGAGGGGCTCAGGACACATGTAGGTCAGTGGGACTCCTCTCAGACTCAGGTGTTCCAGCTGGCAGATGCTCAGGCACCGCGACAGACACCTCAAGTCTGATTCTGCAAGCTGGCATTGAGTTGACAGGGACTCCAAGGGGGCTTCCAGGCACCTGAGGAGAGACAAAGAAGTTAGTTCTGGCTAATGAACTGTAGGGTGTAGGAAAGTCAGGAATGACCTCCAGATCAGAGAGCACAACCTTTTCCACCCACACCCAAGGTGGGCCTGACCATCTGAACACTGTCAATACCAAGGATAGTGCATATGAAAGGTGTGTTCTATAGTCATCACATTCTAGGTTGGGGTCTTTCAAATCACTGTGTAAATGGATCACTGTCCCATCTACACAGTGCCGTTTCCTCACTGTCACACACAATGCCCCTGCTTCGGCCAGTGGAGACCTGCAGGAAGGACAAACTCAGGCAAGATTTGGAAACCTTGCTGGGTTGCTACCTGTGTGGCTCTCTCCTCCTTGCATCCCCAGCAGAGCATCTGTCACTGTCCCCTTGCTTCTCACCCAAACCCCAGTGCCAAACACTTCCCACCACTCCCTACCCTGCCTGAATGCAATACCACCATTCAGAAGGGGACTTAGAGACAGGCCCCTTCCTGCTCACACAGCTGAGGAGCTCAGCCCTCCTGTGGTGACCTGTGTAAGTGCAAGGTGCTTCCCTGCTTCAGTGTCCCCTTCTCCTTCTTAATTGAACCACCTGAGGAAGACACACCTCCTAGGGAGGAACTCACAGCCCACCCTCCCCACACATAACCCCTACAGCTGGCTTGCTACCATGATGACTCTTTCCAGGACATCCACGATGATGTATATACTCTTTGTCATTGGAAAGTCTTGTCTTGATCTATGGAGACTTACCCATCCATCCTCACCTGAGTACCTGGTATAGGTGGCCACACAGGAAATAAGTTGGAGGTAGCCAAGTTTGTCTAACTGAAAAGTGAAGGCGCTGACAAGCTGCTTGTGGTACTCTAGAGAGATGTATGCCTACACTCAGATTTGAGAGATGCGGAGTTTGCACAGATTTTTCTTCTGGCTCAGTAAGGAGCAACCAGGCCAAAGTGCAGGGAATAATGTACTCCATCCATCTCCTCCATTTAGTCAAGGTCCAATGAGCCCAGGATCCTGTGGATGGGCCTTGCCCTGGAGCCCCAGGTGCCCAAGCCCCAAATCTACTTCTTATATCACAGCTGTACTGAACTTTTCCTCTGCAAGACACACTCAAACAAGTACATTTGGAATTCATCCAGATCTTACAGCTCCATGTTAAACCTCAGGGCTGCTTCACCACTGTCTTAGGAGTGACCTTCACTGCTTGGTTCCTGCTCTTGCCTGTGGGGTGCAGTCCCCAGCCATTGCTCCTGACCACACCTTCCAGAAGTTCTGGTGCTCAGACCCCAGGTCCAGCACCTGCAGTTTCCACCTCCTGAGGAGAAACAGGGAGACCCTGAGAATCTTCTCAGGGTCCCATCATGAACATCTTTGTACCCTTTTCGATTTCATCTTCATCTTAGTTTTCCTTCTTCTTTCCTTCTGTTTTTTTTTTTTTGGCAGCACTGGAGTTTGAACTGAAGGCCTCACCACTTGCTAGGCAGGCGCTCTACCACTTGAGCCACTCTTCCTTCTGTTTTTTTTTATTCCTAATTTTCATCCTCTTTTTTCTTGAAGTCCTAAGTTTCAATTTCAGGGCCCCATGTTTGATAGGCAATGAATGGATCCTCAGTGAGAATGGACAGAACTCTCACTTCCTTTTCTCTACCCTCTTCCCATTGGATCCTGACTGGGCCCCACTTCTATCACTTGTGGGAGTACACAGGTCAGCAATTTCTGCCATCCCCACATCCATCTAAATCAGTCCTCCACTCCCAGAAGGCCTTTCCCAGGTGGAGGTGCCTCCGGTCCACCCCTTTCCCCCATCTCTCTGTGTTCCAAACTCATAGACCCCCTTCCATGTTTCCTGAGTCACAGTGACCAGGGGCAATCTTACTGGGCAAACAGCATATCAAGGCCTTCCAGGGGAAGGAAGGGGAAGGGCCAGGCCTCCACCATGGCCTTCATGACCTCAGTGCATCTCCTGGCTGAGGCCTCCATGAACAGATGAGAGAAATTGCTTCATGGGCAGTTTCTCCAGAGCACAGATGTCCAGGGCCTCGGTCCTCAGCAGGCTCTGCCCTGCCAGCTGCAAGAGGGTGGGTGGAGCCTTGAGGCTTATTCTGAAGGATCTGTAATGAGAGGCTCCTGGCACACATCCAGAAAGATGCCTGCTTCAGGCCAAGGCCAAGAAAACTCTTACCCACTATCCAAGGACCCAACTCAGGACATGAGTCATTGCTCTGCAGTGGTGGAAGAGACTCAGTTTACCCCATTTCCCCTCAGCAACTGAGGGCCACAAAGCCATAGGATGAAAGTGTCTCACTAATTCCAACATGGGCACAAGTTCACTATTGGCCAAGCATTTCCTACCACTGCTCCTTTGAGTTCAGGCCCCCTGGGAAGGCACACCAAGAAGCCAGAAATCTCATCCCACCCTTTTTGTCATAGGTTTCTGGTTATCACTCAATGTCCTAAAACAAAGGCAAGAGAAGTCCCATGTGTCAGGCCTCTCTGCAGCAGGGGAGGCAGCATGTGGGAAACGCTGACTGAGGTGGAAACCCTGAGTGTAAGGTGAGCTCTGAGAGGGACATTCCCATGTGCCAGTCCTGTTCCTAGGAGCATGGATCCCTGGGAGAGGAGCTTGGGAGGCCTGGATACTGGGTACTGGGACTTGAACTCAGGGTCTACACCTTGAGTCACTCAACCAGCCATGTTTTGTGATGGGTTTTTTTTGAGATAGGGTCTCACGAAGTATTTGCCCAGGCTGTCTTTGAACTGTGATCCTCCTGATCTCTGCCTCCTGAGTTGCTAGGATTACAGGTGTGAGCCACTGACACCTGGCACGGACCCATTCTTGATCCACTGCACCCCACTGGTGGTGATTTTCTGCTCTGTGACTGTCATAATGCTAAGTGTGAGACAGGAAAGCATTTAGTCTGTTCCTGACATTAGCAAAAGCAAAACCTGTAACTATTGTTTCGGGATGTTTGTTCATGTCAACATTATGAATTTGTTGCAGAGTTAAAACACCTGGGCAGGTGCAGTGCGCACACACTGCTTGGAAGGTTGAGGGGGAGGGGGTCCATTGAGCCAACACCTTGGAGGCCAGCCTGGGCATCACCCTGAGACCCATTTCAAATAAAATAATGAATGAATAAACAAAATATACATAAATACATATATATATGGATAAATAAATGTATCCAGCCATACAGAAAACAACATTTTGTGAATCAACAGAAAATACTTTTGAGCAAATAATTAAAAATATCCAGAGATGATCTTCCTGCACCAGGTCACTGGTCCTCCCCACAGGCTCTTATCTTGGACCACAGATCACAAGGATACTGCAAGGCTTTGCCCCATTTCTAAACACCACAGGAGGTAAAAACCTACCCCAACCATGTCAGGGGACCCCATTGTTTTTTTAACCTATAGAGTCCTTGCTGCAGTGGATGACCAGAAGGGTGAAGGGCATAAATCTCTCTGCTCACTCTCTCTGCAGCCCAGAAACGTGCAGTGCTCATTTTGCTACACTCAGTTCTTGTTGCATGAGCTCTGTAATGTGGACAAAAACCACTCAGTGTTTAACATGTGTTTATTTCTCTTCATACTGGATTTAAAGACAACTCACAGTGGATCACACCATAACCTGAGATCTTAGCTACTCAGGAAGGAGAGATCAGAGGGATCTCAGTTCAAAGACAGTCTGGGCAAATAGTTTGCAAGACCTTATCTCAAGTAAACCCAATACAAAAAAGTACTGGCTGAGTGGCTCATATGGTAGAGGGCCTGCCTAGCAAGCATGATGCTCTGAGTTCAAACCCCAGTACTGCCAAAAAACAACCAAAACAAACAAAAAACCATATTTTGTGGGGCCCCCGTGACTCAGGCCTGTAATTGTAGCTACTTGAGAGGTAGAGATCAGGAGGATCTTGGGTTGAAGCCAGCCAAGGCAAATAGTTTGTTAGACCATATCTCAAAAAAAAAAAAAGAAAGAAAGAAAGAAAGAAAGAAAGAAAAATTTATCACAAAAAAGGGCTGGTGGAGTGGCTCAAGGTGTAAACCATGAGTCAAGCTAGAGTATGGAAAAAAAACGATAAAATAAATGAAGATAATTCACATTAAAAAGCAAACATTTCTTATGTACCTCATGCTATTATTTATTTTTTTGTGGTACTGGGGTTTGAACTCGGGGCCTACACCTTGGGTTACTCTACCAGCCCTTTTTTGTGATGGGTAATTTTGAGTTGGGTCTTGAAAACTTTTGCCTGGGCTGGTTATGAACCTCCAGCCTCCTGATCTCTACCTCCTGAGTAGCTAGGATTACAGGTGCGAGCTTCTCATGCTGTTCTTTGAACTCTATCTTCCTATCTCTGACTCCTGAGTGCTGGGATTGCAGGAGTGTCCCACCAAGCCAGGCCTAAGTACTGTGTTTGGAATCACAGAAAATGAGGCACGACAAGTATACAGAGACACTTGAATAAGCATTAAATAATTAAAGTTGTACTAAGGCGAATGTTGTAAGTATCTAAAAAGGAAGTATTCCTGCATTTTAGTTGTATTTGACAATACAGTCAGACAGCAAGTGGCTGGATATTTTTTGTTTTACAGTAGGAGGTTTTGACTTGTGATGTGGGGATGGAACCAGGGCCTCCAGCAATCCAGGCAAGTGCTCTACCCTTGAGCTCCATCCCCAGACTGAGAATCACTTTTACATTATGGGAAAAATACCATACTCACAGGGTGCTGGGTGGTAATCCAAACACCAGGGAGGCAGAGGCAAGAGGATTGAGAGTTCAGTGCACCCTGTGATACCTAGAAGATCCTGTCTCACAAAAGGAGAGAGATGGAAAGAGGGAGAGGGAGGGGGAGAAAAAGGGAGAGAGAGAGACAGAGATAGAGACAGAGAGAGAGAGAGAGAGAGAGAGAGAGAGAGATCTACCATTTCTTTAAGAAAAACAAATCTATGGGGCTGGGAACATAGCTCAAGTGGTAGAGTGCCTGCCTTACAAGCACAAGGCCTTGAGTTCAAATCCCAGTGCTACCTAAACAAAAACACCCATGAGTCAGGAGATGAATGCAGAGATGAGTTAATTTTGCTCTGTCTTAAATAACAGACATGACCACTGCTAAAGAAAGTTAATAGTAGTAAAAATGTCTCTATAGATGTGCTTTTTCTTTTTTGTATTCTATCTTGTGTTTAATTCAATACAATTTCTTTACTCTCCACAACAAACTTCGAATTCAACCTTATCTAAAATTCTACAAATATTCAACACCCCCCAAAATTTTATAATACTCATTGTACCTAAAAGCCCCTAAAAGCCATGTAACAGTTGCCAAGGTAACAAACAAGACCCCCATGATTGGCAGGACGAAAGGGGATGGGGTAAGGGGACTGACACCCCTGCAGAGCTGGCCTAAACTCCCTCCTCTATTTCAGAGGGTAAGGGGACATAGGGCCAGTGGGTGAGGACATGGAAAGGCAACCCCTTTGGCCACTATCCTGGGGAGGGGCTTCCAAGGAGCTTGACCCTAGAGATTGAAAGAGACTCAAGCAGGGATCAAAAAGCCAGGCCTCAAGGGACAGAAGCTTGGTCCTCTTTCCAAGGGTTTGACCAGGTGTCAGAATGACTCCAGGCGGTCTGGAAAGCTGGACACAGTGTTACTTGAGGGCTTGCTTGTCCTGCTGCCTCTGCCACTGAACAGTGTCAGGTGCCAGCATGGGGCCAGCTATTTATCCAGAAAACTACCAGGTGCCTTGATGGGCATAGCCTGAACCCAGGGCACTTCTGCAGGGAGAACCAGCCTGGAGAGGGACTGACCACCTGCTGCTTTTCCAAGCCTGACCAGGTGAGGACTCTGTTCCTAATCATCTCTGGGTTGAGATGTGAGAACACTGAGCTGGGTGGGATGTAAGTAATCAGGTGTGCTTCCTTGGCCCGCTTATCAGGAGGAGCTGGACCTGGAACATCTCCTGTGGCAGTGGTCAGGAGAGATCAGGACCTAGACCTAGGAGAGCAAGACCCCACTTGCGGGGATGACCTTTGTTACATGGAAGGTGGTGGCAGCACTCTCCTGGGAGGGCTGAATTGCTGAGGGGGCCTAGGTAAGGGATAGTTTGCAGGAGCAGTGACCTCCTAGCCATGGCCTCGCCCTCAGTCATGGGCCTCAACACCCTCTCCTCTTCGTCCGGATTCTCAACTCCACATAGGCCTGGCCTTTCCACAACGAGGCAGCATCCTTTCTATAGGCACGGCAATCATTTTTATGTTCCCACAGGAGCAACTGTCTCCATGTCATCCTCAGTCACCTTCCCAGGGAGCCAGCCCATGTGCACTTGGGTGGGTTTGGGAAAGGGCTCCCTTCCTCCTCCCATTTTCCTCTCTTTTGGGTGGTTTGGACTTGGAGCTAGAGCACCCCCTGTTGTCCAGCCTGCAGGGGACATGCTGGAGGACTGGGAGAGCTGGAGGGGACTGTGTGAGCTGTAGAACTGAAACTGTGGGACCCACTAGACCTTCTGGAGAGGGAACATGGAGCAGGAACTGGAGCCACTGCTGTAGCAGAGATAGAGGTTGAGCTGAACGGAGATCTGCTGCTGTGGCTTTCCTGGGTAGCACTGTGTCCTTTCCCTCTTTAACAAGCCAGGGTCTTTTCACTCTTTTTATTTTATTTTATTTGTTGTCCCTTTTATAGAGACACAAAAACATACACATGAATATTACAGATTTCACATAAAATTTTTAGTTATAATGCAGGATGACAGCAATGCAAACACGATTTTTAAAGAATAGCGGGGTTCGGTTTTGTTTCTCACAAATGAGTCAAATTAATGTTATCTTTTCACGTGGCTAAACTAAAATCTTTTCCTTGAGAAGTAACCTTGGGAAGAGTGGGATGAAGGCTGGATGACAGTTTCCATAGCACTTTGGTTTTAAAATACAAAGTCTCAGGGCTGGCATGGAGCTCCATGGTAGAGCTTCTGTCTAGCACTCACCAGGCCCTGGGTTTGATCCTAAGCACTGCAAAACAAATTTACATGGAGGCACTGTTTACTCTCTCCCCTTTTTCTGTCTGTTCAAAATGTTCTGTGACGACAATAACAAATAACAAAGAAAACAGGGGGAGGTCTACATTCCCCCGTTTTTACCCAGGTGCCACAGGGCTCCAGTCTAAAAAATTGGCACCTTCTGCAGAATTTACAGAAATACTTACCGATCTGGACCTCGTGGGGTGGCCTTATGTCCCTCAGTACCTGCCTCAACTTCACTTGAACCTGGGCAAAGCTCTCATTGTCCAAATGACCCCAACCACAGCGATAGCTCTCCAGAGGGGCAGGATACCGTGCGAGGCGTAACTGGCTCAGCCTGGCAGTGTGTCTCAGCAGGTTCTCCAGGGCAGCCATGGAGATGTGGTTCCCAAAGAAACTGAATAGTGTGAGCTGGGAGCAGCAGCTCAGGGCGGGCAGGATGGCATCAAGCTGGGAGTCGGTGATCACACACTCCTCCAGGAGCAGGCTCTCCAGGGTGCCGGCCACTCGCTTTAGCAGAGCTCCAAGGAGCTCTAGACTCAAGTCTTCCAAACGGCAGTCCTGTAGGTGCAGGTACTTGAGCTGGCTGGTGCTGGGACACTGGGACAGGTGCATCCAGTCTGACAACTTTAGTGGGGTTGACCCCAAAGAGAGGCTCTCCAAGGGTGTCTGGCTCCTGAGGAGAGAGCAGACTCCAGTGAATCGTGGTGGTGATGAGTGCAGCCACATAAAAATTACCTCCAGGAGGGTGACCTTCTGGACAAAGGTGGTTCTGCCCACCTGATGAAGGTCAGGCTGCTGGAGGCTGTGTGCTGCAGCCTCTGCTCACTCAGTCAGTCCCCCATTCTAGGCTGAGGACTTTCACGGTTACAGTGGAAATGGCTCAGTGCCCATCTTTACAGCGCCCTTTCTTCCTCACTGAGGTTCCCTCCTAAGGCTCTCTCACCCCCTGTGTCCTCAGCAACGCATCTTTCCCTGGTCACAACTCACACTTGCTTCTCACCCTAACCCCAGAGTCACACACCAATCACAAGTGACACCATCTCCTACCTGGGCTCCAAACCACCTTCCAGAGAAGGCTGGTCCCCTTCCACAGCTCTGAGCAGAGCTCCATGGGAAGCTGTGCAGGTGAGGTGCCTCCCTCCTCCAGTGCCCTCTTCTCCATCCTAGTTCCACCATCTGAGCTTAGGCATGCCTCCTTAGGGGAACTCACAGTTCCCTTACCATGGGTCTGACCCCATAGCTGGCTTCCTGTTATGAGGGCCCTGCACAGAACACCAACCCCAGTGTAGCCAGATGCACCTCAGGGGTGGATATGTGAGGCCAGAATTCAAGAGGGAGCACTGGACCCGTCAATGCATTCCCTTTCTGGAGCCTCCCTCACCGTCCCATGGCCACACCTTTGCACCACAAATGCCCTTTCTGAGAACAAAAATAGCTTTCCATCCACCCTTACCTGAGTATCTTGTGCAGTTTTCCGTACAGGAAGAAGACATCATACAGACGCAGTTCCCGGAGTTTTGTCAGCTTTCGTAACTGAGCAGAATACATGGACGAATACCACTCGTTTAAGGAAGGGGAAGTGTAGTCTTTGGCACTCACACAGCTGAATGAAAAGACACGAAGATTTTGCATCCTGCCCACGTAACGAACAAGTGTGTTAGTGGTATCCCGATTCCAGTAGTGCACCACGTGCAGCTCCTGGATGTAGTTCAGCTGCATGACCTGCAGGACATTTAGAATTAAGTAGGTCCCTTTATTTTCCCATACGTGGGGCATATTCATCTGCAGGTTTTCACAGTACAACTTTCCTAAATGTTTTCTCTTCTTGGCCCACCGCAGGAGGCGGGCTAGGAATTTATCTTTGAGGACATCATCTTTTTCTTGGATGCAGATGTCTACAAACACCTTCACGGGCTTCTTCGCTACCATCCCTGCTCCAGGATATGCTGCTCCCTGCTCAGTCATGTCCTTTGCAGAGCAGGCATGGGCCATGGCCATGTAGCCCAGAGACCAGACGTCCTGCTGCTCATTTCGCAAATCCACTACTTGGAGTTTGCACCTCCTGAGGGGGAACAGGACAGAGTCTCAGAAAACAGGCAAGGAAGCACTCCAACCTGCACTTTTTCCCCCTCATCCTGGCCATCAGCTGCTCCCCAGATTCTCTGTCTTGCTTTCATCCACCTCCTTTCCATTGAGCCAGGCTAGTCCCCACTTCCTAGCACCTGTGTTCGGATGCAGGTAGAGGCTCCTGCCATCTCTGTCTCCATCCCAAGTCCTCCACACCAGGAAGCCTTTTCCCAGATGTCCCAGGCCCCTGACAGGAGCCATAAAAAACTTGTGGCCCTCTCTTTGCCTCCTGCTTTCCCTGACCCCTTGACTTCAGAATTCTCCACTTCTATGTCACCTGGGTCACACTCACCTGGGGTGAACCTTCTGGCGCCACAGCATATTAATCAAATCCAGGGCAACCTCTAAGTCTTTCAGATCTCGTGTCTTCATCAGGGCTCCTAGAGGGAGGCAGGGAAAGGGCCAGGCCTGCACCATGGCTTTCAGGATCTCTGTGCTTCTGTAGGCAAAGGCCTCTTTGAAGAACTGAAGAAAGAGCGCCTGTGGCAGGCTGTCTACAGAAGAAACAACCAAGGCCTGGTTCCTTAGCAGGATCTGCATTGTCAGCTCCTGGAGTGTGGGTGGGGCCTCGATGCTCATCCTGACGGATCTGCAGGGAAAAGAATCCTGGGAAGCATCCAGAGAGGCATCTTTTCAGGCCAAAGTTGGGAAACCGCTTCTCACCCTCCAAGCACTAAACTCAGGGCCAAAGTCACTTCTTTGGCAATGGTAGAAGACCCCTCAGTTTACTGCACTTCCCCACTTCCACTCAGTACCTGGTACCCACAAAGCCACTCCTCTGGGATGGCAGGTGGCAAGGTGAATACTTCAATAGTACCAACCTGGAGTCAAGTTCATCACTAACCCATCCATTTCCCACCTGTGTACCTTTGAGGTCCAGGCCACTTAGGAGGGCTGCGGAGGAACCAGAAAGCTTACTCCACCCTTATAAGGTTTCTGGTCATCACTCAAGGTTCTAAAACAAAACCCCATGTGCCCAGCCTTCCTGCATTCTGTCCCTCCTATGTCACCATGGCTGGAAGCACTAAGGAGGCTAGAAATTGGCGCCACTCATTTCCCTTTCTAAATCCTTTAATAAGGGATAGGAGAATGGAGACCCAGGAGAGGAGTCTGAGAAGGATTTGATTAGAAGACCACACCACCATCAGTGGATTGACCAGGCTGGGGCTGAAGCACAGAGGGTTACCTAGCAATCAAGGAACAAAACCAAGAACATCCTCAAAGCAAGAACCATTAAAAAGATAAATAAAGCCATTTTATAAATATTGAACAGAATATATTTCTGCTCCCCTCCCATTTTTTGTAAGGGGGTGTGGAACCTAGAACCCAATCCATTAGGCTATGTTCTACCACTGAGCTCTACTTACAGCAGTGTCTGTTGTTTGAGACAGAGTGTGTATAGCTGAGGCAGGATGCAAACTCCTGATCCACCTTCCTCTTCCTGGAGTGCTAGGATTATAGGTGCACACTATCACTCTGAGCCTCAGTCCAGTATTTAAACTTGAATTAAAAGGAGATTATAAATCTGGAGTGGAGGTTGTACACCTGTAATCCCAGTGCTCAGGCAGAGGCAGGAGGATCTTGACCCTGGAGATCCACAAGGGCCACAGAGTGAGAACCTTTCTCATAAACGGAAAAGAAAACAAAACTTATAAAATCACAAAACCACAGAGTTCATGAACTATCATTTAAAGGAATAAAAAGTAATATTTGAATGCTGAAAAGATAAATACCTATCAAATACACTTTTCTTTAAAACATTTTTGTCTTTAAGAAGTTTGAAAATGACAGGAACCAGAGGTATGAAGGCCAAGCTGCATTTGCAGTCAAACCAAGGCTTCAACCAGTTCATCTAAAGAGTAGAAATCCTAGCAGTCTCCTGGTGCCAGTGTCTCCAGTGAGCCAGGCTGGAGGAGGGTCTAGAGTGTCCTGATGGAGATGAGTCACTTACCAGGTGTGGATGTGGTTCCCACGTGGCTCTCTGAATCCCAGCAGGGCCAGGCAGTGACACCAGGCTCTAGGAATCTCCTTCTCTTCCTCTGGCTCCTATGAAGCTTCATTGCTTTTTCTATAAGGCACCTACCTTTTTAAACTCCTTCTGTCCAATCAGAAAGGACCATCTGATCAGATTACTGAAACCCCACCCCGTTAATCCAGATAGGCTTTTCCGATTTCTCCAGATTAATTGATCGTATCAGTTGTCCCTCCCTAAAGGAAAAGAATTAGGGATAGTGTAAAGTCAAGGATGCATTCACTGATCCACTGTAGGAGTGGCGATGTTTTTCTGCCCTTGCCAAGGGTTTCCTCTGTTCCAGGTATTAGGAAAAGCAAAACCTCAAAATATCATTGTAAATGGATCTTAGGCAATGTCATAATTATGAATATGTTCCAGAGTTAAAACATCTTAGTTTCTAGCGCTAGCCAAAGTGGTAGGGAATTTACCTAGCAAGCTTGAGACCCTGTGATCAATCCCCAGTACTGCATGAAACTAACAAATCAGCAAGCTTGCTTGCAAGCAAACAAACAAAAAGCAGTTTAGCCAGGTGAGGTGGCACAGGCCTATGAGCTCAGTTCTTTGGTTGGCTAAGGCAGGAGAATCCCTTGGGCTCAGTAGCTCAGAGCCAGCCTGGGCAACATAGGGACACCTTTTCTCAAAAACACAAAATCAGAAAGAAACACACAAAAAAAAGCTTTATAAATGAAAGACAAACAAGAAAACTTATGAAGTCAGTGATTTTGTTCTCAAACAATTGGTATGTTTCCTGGGTGCTATGCCAGGTGGTCCTGGGCCACTCAGGGAGGCAGAGGAGGCAGAGCTGAGGGTAGAATTGGAGCCAAGATCTAGGTGTAGCCGTCTTTGAAGGGAATCAGGACTAAATGGCACTGAGAGGTCAGTGTGAGGGCTGTGCTGTTGGGCTGAGTGATCATAGGGGATCCTGTGAAAGACCCAGGACACCATAAAACATGTGAGCTTTCTTGAGGGATCAAGGGATCAGTAATGGAAGACTTTGTCTCCATAGAGGCAGAGATTGAAAGGGGAGACATGCACAGGACTGCACAGTCTATTCATCCCACACTGAGCTCAGGGCAGGGAGGGAGATATAGACTATGGTTTTCCTGGGAGGTCAAGGGTGTTTCACATAGGATCAGCTCAGCCAACTGGCTTGAGAAGACGAAGTCAAAGAATGGGTACTGAAGCTCAAGATAGGGAGCAGCCTTGACTTCCAGACATGGGGAATCATTCATTTCAAAGTCTGAGAGCCACTGAGGGCACAAGATGTGGTCCCTTGGGATGCTGGAGAGTAAGAAATATGGAGAAAGTTGTGTCCTTGTCACCACCTGCCCACCACCTGGAGTCTTTTCCTTCCAGTCAGGGTTCTTCCTATAAGACATGACTCCCAGGCAACTCTGAGCCCCAGTCTGCCTCCAGGGTCCCTTGGCCTGTGACAGAATCATTTGAATCAGGATGAAATTTAAAGCCTATCAGATGAGAGGTACTGGAGGCTGTTATTTTGGGCCACACTTATGTTCTAGACTCCCAACAAAATAGAAAACAAAACAGTCACTTAGTCGAAAAGTCCCACAGAAACTCAGTTGATAGGGGAATCTGGAGACAAAGACAACACTGCTCAAATTCCCAGCAGGCCAGTGGCAAGGGCATGACAGTGAAAAGTGTTGTCTATTTCAGTCCTTATATCTGTTTTTTTGCAACCAGACATTTCATACCCACCTGGGGATGTAGCTCCATAGTAGAGGGCTTTTCTAGTATGGGCAAGGCCCATATTTAATAACAGAGATACTGTTTTTAACATGGTCAAAGGAATTTATGAAGCTGGGTGATGTGACATCCCCCAACTGTAACTCAGCATGTGAAGGTGAAGGCAAGAAGACCCTGAGTTCAAGGCCAGCCTGAGATAACTGAACTTGGTTAAGTCCAGTTTTTTTTTGTTGTAGTTTTTGTTTGTTTCAGACTTCCAAAACAGGCGAGATAGCAGGAGCCTATAGCCCCAGCTGCAGGGGAGATCACTTGAATGACATGTATTAGTCTGTTTTTTAAATTATCTTTTTTAAAGTTATTGTTGTACTGGGGTACATTTTTTGTGACATTTACCAAAATTATTATTTTATTTTATCATTTTTACATTACTTACATGTGTATACATTATTTGAGCCACCTCTCCACCACAAAAATTCCTAAAATATATATTTTAATTCACTCCTCCATCATTCTCCTTTATTCCAACTCCTGGAACACTTTCAGAAGGTCTCATTTTTCCATTTTCATACATGAGTACGTGATATTTCCACCATATTCACCCTCACACACCCTTTCTCCCACCCACTGGCACCAACCCAAAGACAGGAACTGTTTTACCTTTCTGTTCTCTTGTTTTTGGAAAAAAAGACATTTTTGTTTGTATAAGATAGCTATATAGGGAGTTTCATTGCAACATTTCCATGTACACATGTACTGTAACCTGAAATGGTTCATCCCTCTCTATTTTTCTCCTTTCTACCTTAGTCCCCTTCTTATGGTGATTTCAAGAGATTTAAAAATTCTATATTCATTCTTGTATAGAAAGGACATCAACCTGCTGGGCACCGGTGGTTCACACCTGTCATCCTACCTACTCGGGAGGCAGAGTTCAGCAAGTTGGAGATTCCCAGCCAGCCCGAGCAAATAGTTCACTACACCCTATCTCTAAAAAACCCATCACAGAAAAGGACTGGTGGAGTAGCTCAAGGTGTAGGCCCTGAGTTCAAGCCTGAGTACTGAAAGAAAAAAAAAAAGAGCTAGAGAGAAAAGGTAAAAGAAAAAGGAAGTACATCAATCCATCAATCATATTCACCTTCTTAACTTCCTTCTTTTACCCTCCTCCTGCAGTATGTGAACTTGCCTTAGCATGACCTGTTTGTTATAATATTGCTTGTATTTGTATTGGGCCTATATTCCACATATGAGAGAAAACACGTGGCCTTTGGCTTTCTGAACCCATCTAAATTCACTTAAAATAATGTTCTCCAATTCCACCCATTTATCTGCAAATGACAAAATTTCATTCTTTATGGCTGAATATAAGTCCATTGTATATAAATACCTTATTTTTCTTAATCCATTTATCAGTTGTGGGGCTATTTGGCTGTTTCCATAGTTAGCTATTGTGAATAGTGCTGCAGAACACACGGGTGTGCAGGTGTCTTTAGTATAACTTAATTTATATTCCTTCAGGTATATCACTAGGAGTGGTATTGCTGAATCATAGAAAATAAGCCACAAGTACATATAAATGAACATTTAGATAACTAAATAGTATTAAGCTGAATGTTGTGACTTTCTGAAAAAGGAGTATTCCAGCATTTAATTCTATTTGAAAATATAGTAAGTACATCAAGTGACCACACCACTGCATCATGATGGAAAGAGAGGGATTATTTTCTTCCTTGCAGAGCTGGGGATGGATCTCAGAGCCTCCAGTATGCTAGGCTCTGCCATTGAGCCCCACCCAGCTGAGCATCTCAGTTGCATGACTGGATAACCACCATTGCTTTAGGAACAGCAGAACTACAGAATCTCTTAC